TAACAAACTGACGTGAAGACACAGACACACTCCGTCAGTCAGTCAGTCAGTTAACAGTGTTACGTTAATCTAATGTGCACAAACTGTGTCAATATACACTGAGTTCGGAGAGAGGAAGTAAATTAACGTCTGCAGCGCCACAGTCTGATTAAATTAGGTCTTCACCGAGTGACAAAACTTCACACCACTGCAGAGGTGTGTGTGTGTGTGTGTGTGTACTCGGTCTTTGAAGAAACGTCACAGATTTGAGTCGACAAACTGTCAAAGGATTAAAGAACACCAAAGACATTCTAGTTTTTAAAAACATTCTATTCGTTTATAAAGAAAAAACAAAATCACACACAGTGATCGATCAAACAGAGCAGGACTGGGGTTAGGAAATCCTGCCACTGGTGGGCGCTGCAGACTCGTGGAAAAACATCGAGCATGTGAGACAAGTGAAAGGTAGGCGTGTGTGTGTGTGTGTGTGTGTGAGGATGTGGCCTGTTGTCTTTAAAACAAATCTAATGTTGTTTAAATTAGGACTCGATCACAACAGCGGACGATTCATCGACACTGACAGACATTATTATTATGACGTCATGATTCTGTACAATCACAGACCAAGCCGAGTTCAGACGCTAAGACGTTAATGAAGTAATAACCGAAGCAGGATTTCTGTGTAATCTCTCCTCCCTCCCTCCCTCCCTCTGATTGACACCACGGCTCCCGGCAGTGACGTGGTGTGCGCAGGGACCAATCGGCGCTCTCCCGGGGGGCGGAGCTTCGACCTGTGCAAACTCCAGCTCATATTCTCAGTCAGTCTGTGTCTCTCCCTGCAGTTGTTTACGTCCAGGTTCTGGGGAACGTCGATGGCGAGTTGAGCTGGGAGCAGAACCTCCTCAGTGTGCGCGTGCACGTCTGCCAGATACGCGCGTGTGTGTGTGAGAGAGAGTGTGTGCCAGCCTGTGTGTGTGTGTGTGTGGGAGAAAGAGAGAAAGATAGAGAGAGAGTGTGTGTGTGAGCCTGGATCTGCAGCGGGGTTGACTTTTCCCTTCTTCACTCCCACAGCATGAGAATTTCCATGTCAGCTCTTCTCATCTCTCTCATCTTCATCTTCGGCCATTTGTTTTTTTCTCACCATCCGAACTCATTGTGTCGTTTGGCTGCCGCTGCTGCCAGCCTGAGTCAGCTGCTCCCTGCCGTCTCCACCTTCACTTTCACCGCCTCCAGCGGTACCAGCAGAACCGGCGGCACCGCCGTCACCTCCGGCCGGGGGTCCAGTTGAAAAGCGGGACCAACCTCTCCTTCTCCTCTCCTCCTGGATATCACCGCACGAGCCGGGAATACCACGCCGAGGATTTACCCACGCTCGTGCGCGCTGGTACTTTTTTTTCCTCTCTTCCTCGTGTCTGTGATGGATGTATGAGGAGAAAATTTGTTCACTGTCGTCTGAAGGAACTACTGCCCTGCGCAGCAGCAGCAGCCGCGGTCGGAATGTTCTGAGTCCGGTGGCTTCGTGTTCGGATCGGGATCTACAAAAAAACGCGAACGAGAAGAATTCTCCTTCTCCCCTTTTCGCCCGCTGCTCTGCTCTGCCGAAAAGCCCCGTTTCTGTGTTCGTTGCGGAGGCTCCATCCTTCCAGACGGGCTGTGCTCGCTCACCATGGGGGATTGTACGTGGAGATATTATTTTGGAGTTTTGTTCGTGGCCCTCAGACTGGACCTGTGCCGCTCGCTCATCCTGGAGTCCATCTACTGGAACACGACCAACAGCAGGTACGTGCCAGAACCACATCCGCCGCTATACACCGCCCTGCTGTGGTGAAAGGTCCCGTGTCTCCCCCGGTGTGTATTACCGGGGGGAGACACGTATCTGCCTTTACTTTAAAGTACTCCCTTAAATATTTGTCACGTACTCCGCTGTAGGGCCTGCGCAGTGGACTCGGGGCTGACCGAACACTGTCATGTGTCGGAACACAGATGGATATAAAGTCTGTTCTGTTCTACCGAACCCCCCACCCCCCCCCCCCCCCCCCCCCCCACACACACACAGACACACACACACACGGTTAACAAACCGAGCCATTCAGTCTGGTCGTGTTCGTCAGCTTTTTTTCTCTCTGCGTAAAAAAATAAAAATAAATAAACGACGTTGCCGTGAATTTGATCTGAATCAGCAGCGCGTTAACTTCGGCCCATATGAGAACACACACACACACACACACACACACTCCTGCTGTTTCGCGGTGTTGGGCTGTTTTATTTGCGGGGAGGATGGAGGTGAAACGCCGACACCCGCAGAACAAAGAGTCGGTGATTTCAGCACATTCGTGCGGCCGTTGACACCGACAGTCAGCCGCCGGTGCTTCACTGTCTGCGGCCGCAGCAGGTACGCAGTTACGGCCTGGAGAGAAAGACCAAACACTGCCCCCCCCCCGCACCCCCCTTACCTACTGTTTTCATTAAATTAAATTAAATTGAATGCGTATTTTTTCTTGATATTTCTATCCGTAGTTTTCTCTCGGTTTTTTTGTTTTTACCGTCTGTGTTTGTATCGGCACTGACGGTGAATCGATAATAAATACAATTACATTCATAATGTTGTGGAACAAAAGAGAAAAGGCGGCGACCAGACTCAGCACTCTGAGGCTCCGTGGTTAGGGTTGATGAAACCCTAAAATAACCCTAAAATAAAAACAAAATAATAATAATAATAATTTAAAAAAACCAACATTATTTTGATGAGGTTTTGAACAGAAGTGCTGCAGCTCTCTGCTCATCTGACCCTCAAACTGTCTCCTGAGTGTGTGTGTATTCCTGACCTCGGGTGGAGTGGTGTAAACAATCCTTCTCACACACACACACATATATTTGAACCCGTCATCTCTGTTCAACTGAAGGTGGTTTGTTTTCCTGCTCGAAGCTCGAAGCCCGGCGGGAGACGAACCTCCTCTCTGTGACCGTTTGGTCACGGTCAAACTCCACAGTCACTCAGAGATCACTTCTTTGTCCTGTGGGAAAAATGAGATCTTTGGTCCACTTTAGACCAGGAGAGCATACCCCCCCTCCCCCTCCTCCCCCTG